TGGAAGTTGCTTAAGGAAATAGGTTTCAAATTTAAGAAAGAAGATAATAGAAAAGCTTTATGTGAAAAAAATAATGTTGTTCACAAAAGAATAAATTTTTTAAGAGAATTGTGACGAAGTCACTAATTTTATTTAATTTTAAAAAAATGTATATTTCAATTAATTCCCGCCTGAGGACATGTAGAAGATTAGTATTTCTGTTTTCCAGGAATTACCGTTTTCAACAATTGCGAGTACCTTCGTAGATTAAAATATTCCTATATTTGCCGAAATCCGAATGGGCATTTTGTAGAGTCGATTTCGTACCAATTATCTACCTTTATTTGTCAAGGTACTAGAAGGACATATTTTTTTATTTTTAAATTGTAAACAGTCGGCTGTAGTAGTGGTATCCCCCACTCGGGCTTACCGAAAAGCATAAATTCGATCACATCTGGGAAGTAAGCTCTCTTGATTGCAGGCCGCCGTAAGCTCTTCTCTCTTGATTGCCGACAGCCGAAAACTATTCGCCCTTCTGCAGTGTCGAGTGAAATACTCTGTGAGTGCCGTGATTTCGAAAGATCATTGAATAACCCCGTTTATTTTTTAAGGTAGGAAACCGCATATTATTTTTTATTGACTTTTTATATAATTAGTTGGGACACCCGTGCGACAAATGAACAATTTTGATTTATATCCAGGATATTTCATTTCATGCCTCAGTGGGAAACCGTTGGCAATTTTTATTTGAGGCTGGACGTAGGCTAGACTCTAAGTGCTCTCACGAATATATCCAATCTTTCTTAGAAACCGCCCAGTTAACATTGAAGTGAGAGGTTCAACCCGTTTTCAATTTTTTTTTATTATTTTATTTTTTTTTTTTTGGAGGTTCGATCCGTCCCCGGGTTAAGAGTGATCTCTCCCCTGACGATGTTATCTAATTTCTCAAAAAGACGTCTAAATTAATTTTCGCGCCTCACTTCATGTAAATTTCTTTTCTTTTATTTTTTTTTATTCAGCTATATTTGAATCATTCCATTCCCCGTCCACAATTAGTTATTGAATGAAGCCAGACGACTTCTGTAAAATTAATTCACACACCGTCTCGATCGACTCTGGTCAAATCTCAAAATATTTCTTTCTACTATCGTCGCCTACGCTGTCCAAACACCGCATAAATTCCCATGATTCTCACTCAACGAAAATTGCCGCGGCCCATCGCTCGAGGATGAGATACAAGGGGGTTCCGACAACTTTGTTTCATTATATAGTAGATTTTTCTTTTCTGAACGTACATTAGGTGGGTTAATATTGCTAATAGCAAACTTTATTTTCCGTATACAGGGAGAGTCGTAACTACCTGTTTTCTTTCATTTTTTTATGAACTTCCCAGTTGGTAACCGTTTGTTAAAAAATTTAATTACTCCGTTTTAATGAATTACCGTTATTTTTTTCGTTTTACTATTTTGACCAGAATATTTAATTTAATTTCGTGATTTTGGAAAAACATACCTTCCATATACCGGGTATACATAATTTCCGATTTAAATTATAATAATTTATTTTTAATAAATTTTCCGAATATAGGGATCCATTAAGATTTAATTCGTTTTCAATTGTAGTAATTTATTTTAATAAATTTTCCGTATACAGGGAGTTTCATAATTCCCAGACCGCTTAGCCTCCTGCGCTAATGAACCATAAACATTTCCCTATATTTAAATAGTTTGCAAGCGTAATAATTTATTTTTCATAAATTTTCCGGATACAGGGATCCATCAATATTTAAATAGTTTTCAATTGTAATAATTTATTTTTCATAAATTTTCCGGATACAGGGATCCATCAATATTTAAATAGTTTTCAATTGTAATAATTTATTTTTCATAAATTTTCCGGATACGGGGATCCATCAATATTTAAATAGTTCTCGATTGTAATAATTTAATTTTATTAATTTTTCCGAATACAAGGATCCATCAATATTTAAATAGTTTTCAAGTGTATTAATTTATTTTTAATAAATTTTCTGTATACAGGGAGTTTAATAATTCCCGGACCGCTTGGCCTCCTGTGCTAGCGAACCGTAATTATTTCTCAATATTTAAATTGTTTTCAAGTGTATTAATTTATTTTTAATAAATTTTTCGTGTACAGTGAGTTTCATAATTCCCGGACCGCTTGGCCTCCTGTGCTAGCGAACCGTAAATATTATTCAATATTTAAATAGTTTTCAAGTGTAATAGTTTATTTTTAATATATTTTCCGAATATAGGGAGCCTGTAAGATTTGACTAGTTTTCAAATATAATAATTTATTTTTAGTAAATCTTCTGAATAGCGGGAACCATAATATTTAACTAGCTGCAATTGTAATAATTTACTTTTAATTATTTTTTTTTGTTCCTTCTGTACATAGGGATCCGTAATTACTTTCTTGTAATCTCGTTTAATTGTAATTATTCATTTTATTTAATTTTCTGTTTACCGCTGTGCCAGAACCGTGCACCGGCACTGATGTATTTTTTTTGTAAATATATATTTTATTACCTATTCCTGTGTTTCTCTTATTGCTGGTTATTAACCGTTCTCTTTCAGGGTACCGTAGGGTACGAGGTGTAAAGGAGATAAGTGTTTTATTTTTATTTATTCTAGTATAGTGGCTGCCTAGCAGTGACCGCCTGGAATTATTTTTACCTACACTGAGTTTACTTTAACTGCACTCTGGTGTACTACAGGGTCGCAGAGCAAACTGCGATACCAAAACTGAGCAACCCCTATTCGGGAATCACCATCATAGCGCCACACAGACTCTTTGATTGATAGTAGGTGAACCAGAAGCCTGTCACAGAATACACTCGTTTAAAAGAGAATGGAGCTTCGTTTATATATTTGGATGAAACCTGGATATTTTCCAAAGGTGGGACGAAAAGAATATGGCAAGATGAAAATATAAAATCAATAAAACATACTAATGGTGAGGGAAAGCGACACATAATCTTGCACGCAGGTGGAAAGAATGGATTTGTGGATGGTGCAGGATTAATATTTTCCTCTAAATCAAAATCAGAAGACTACCACGATAACATGAACTCGGATATGTTTATCAAATGGTTAAATGAAAAACTATTACCAAATTTAAGTAAACCGTCTGTTATAGTGTTAGATAATGCGAACTACCACACAGAACTTTTAAACAAACTGCCAAGACAGAATTGGACTGTAGCCAAAATACAAGAATGGCTACGTAACGAAAATGTTGCATTTCCACAATACGCCCTTAAATCTGAGTTGTTAACTTTAGCCAAACGGCATGAACCACCACAAATTTATATGGTAGATCAAGTCATACATAGTTATGGACATGATGTGTTACGGCTTCCACCGTACCATTGTCAGTTTAACCCCATCGAACACATTTGGGGTATATGTAAAACGTATTATGATAATCATATTGGAATTAATGGTTACAGCGACGAAGCAGTAAGGGAAATATGGAAACAAGCACTGGATATATCAACCCCAGAAATTTGGCAAAAAAGTGTTCAAAAATGTGATTAATTAATTGACAACTGGTGGACACGTGAAAACAGGATAAACGAAATTAACCCTATAATTATATCCCGTAATGATGACAGCGACGCTAGTGACACAAATTTTAGATTTATAGGTATGTCAAAAGACAATTATTTATAATAATCACTGTTTAATATAGAATTTTAAAAGTTATGTTATTTTTAATCATCGTACTTACTTAATCGCAGGGTGAAACTGTATTTGTAAATTAAAATTTTTGTTCTGAATAAACTATTATTAAACAACAAAATCATGTAACTATCTCTTTTAAGCTTTCTGAGGCAAAATTAAATACCTAAAATTTATATTTATTTTGTTTCTATAAGAACCCCTTGAAATATACAAAATAACGCAACCATGAATAAATGTTTAAAATACAACTGACCAGTCAAATCTTTTATTTATTTCTTAATCTGATATGGGTTTAAATTCAGTGAATGACCTATATATACATTTTTTTTCCACAATCCGTTAAAATCTAGAATGATACAGCTTTCCAGTGTTGCAAATATTTTGAAAAAAATATTGAATAGCGGCGTCACAATCGCGAGTTAAACACAAAAAAATTGTTTTTTTACGATAAATCAAAATAATCGAAAAATATTTTTTTATTCGTTTTTGCAATTGCTAATTTAATGGAGCCCTCCGGCTTTGCATCCGTAAACTCATTTCCAACACAGTACATATTTTTTAAAAAATATATCTTCGAGTGCACAGTACATGATCGAATTTCGGGGTGATGATTTCTGACTATAATATGGAAGTTGCAAGAGAATAGGAAGTTACGAAATAATGGTAACGCCGTCTGAATTTTGTATTTTGAGTGTGTAACAGTACAACATGCAGATGGCCTTGCCATTTTTATTGTGCTATTACTTATTATCGCGCAAACTCCATCCATCTAGGTAAGTGAATTTAATGCCTTTGTAGATTTGATTAGAGATTAAAATTAAGATGTATATTTGCTGACGAGTCCTAAGGACTAAACTGGTTCAAGAATAACGTTCTCCTTAGAAGGCAAAATCAAAGGTAGAGTGTTAAAATTAAATTTATATATCTGCTGCCTTTCCTTTGGATATAATTCAATACATGTTGCGGTATTAGCCAAAGAAGTAGTTGTTGTCCTAAATGAAACCGTCGTTCGTATTATTATTCGACACTTGCTCTGAGTATAATTACTAAATTATTTTATTTTACGTCTTCGTCACATTTGAGTTATAACTATTTTCTTATTCGCATATTTTAATACTTTCGGTAATCAGTACCGCAGCTATGCTAATTATTTCATTGTAATCTATAGATCATGAGTATCTCAAAATTTCCTTCAACTAGAATAATTCTGATTTTTTATGCAATTATATTCTGTAGGTAGTATTAATTAGTTAGGTTATGAGTTAAAACATCAGTTTATTTCTATATAGATATACAATAGTTATTGTTACAAAATTATAAAAGTGTCGCATGGCTAGCTAAAGAATTAACGTTTTCTTTCACTTCATTTTCAGATTCGTCGAAGTATTCATCATCGCCGGTATATTCTTGAACCGATTTGTTACATGTTTTCGTAAAAGCTACTTTATAATATTTATTTAGTTTAGCTAATAGTACAATAACGATTATGGGACTTCCATACGCTAGATATTCTGGTATAAAGAATGTCAATAATATAAATAATCTGAACGTATATGCATCAAAAAACCCTGCACAAAAATGATAAATATACAGTGGTAACCAAGTCAGTATCATAACGGTTGCAATGGTAAGCGAATACATTTTTTTGTTGGACGGATTCTTAACCTTAATTTTCAAACAATTACAAACCAAAACGAAGATAACAAGACAAAAATATAATATACTATTTAGTAAAATGGTTATTACATAAATCGAATAATAACATAAGATTACGTTTAAAATCCAAAATTGAAAACAAATACAATATATAAATAAAATAGAGTAGTTCAATATTTTACTAAGTATAACCCGCCTAACATTTGGATTGTAATACACTGTTATTATCCATTCTGAAGTAAGCGCTAAGCAACAAAGGAACATACCCACTATGTATACATCTTGCATTTGTCCAAATAAACAATAAACATGCCAAGAGAAGAACCTCCAAAGACCAAAAATTTCTATAGTGAATTCAAAAAACGGTAAACTAACAAATTGTAATATATTGAATATTGCGTAGTGCATCACGTATTTATTGGTTCTAGTTTCTTTCAGTTTTTTGTTTCTAGAAATAATTACTATCAAATATATGTCAATGATGATAACTCCTATGCACAGGAAGAATTTTATGATGTCCATGGTGTTTCGGAACGTCGAAGTTTGTCTCATAATACGATAATATTTATCCGATTCTGACTCTTCAATCACTTCAAAAGGATCATCAAGTACGTCCAGGCTAGTATTATCAAACATATCGAAGGGGCTGCTCGTCATTTTCTGAATTTAGTGGTCGATACCTACAGCTGCAGACTCGTGTCGACTGAAAAAAAAAAGAATAAAAGTAACATTTTTGTTTGTGAAAGGAGATAAATACGAGCCCTATATGTTCGGATCATGTACTAAAAACATATATTTAATTTAAACTGTGTTTTTTAGTCTTCTCGATTTGAAAATCAAGTCACATACTCTCTACCTAACATAAAGTCTAATCGGAAGTTTTTTTTGCCTAAACTTCATAATACAATAACAAACATTTAACAAATTTGTCGAAAAATAAATATTCGGGCGCACTTGAATTTTATGACAAAAATCGAACATTTTATGCTAATAACGGTTTCTATCCGTTTTGGCATGGAATCTACTTATGTCTTGCAATATTTTGGGGCCAAAGTATTCCAATTTATGTTAATCTTGCCTTTATTGTTGGAACTGTACGCTAAGAATAGTTAGGCAAATACTTCTTCCGCTGATGCCGCAAAGGACAAAGTCATTTAACTCCACGACCTCGATGCTACGATAATACTTTTACATAATGGTCCATTTTAGCAGTGTGGCAGAACGCACTGTCTTGTTGAACTATAAAACTTTAATTTGAAAAATTTATTTTGCTTTTGAAATTGTAACCTACCGCACCCAGGTACCTTAATAATTTATTAATTCCAATTATTAAATTCTTTTAAATTCAAAATGCTTCATTTAACGAAAAATCTCCCAGATAATTAAATCTTATTTACGACACCTAATAAATAATAGCTATAACCAAGTCCGTAATATATCCACGTCTCTCTGAGAACCAGCCCAAAGAAAACACCATAAAGCGTATTTCTGTTTACGAAGTAATTATTAAAACACTTAACTAGCTTATTTTTCTAGTTTTGATGTTAAGACCGATATCGACAATATTTCGATACACAAAGCTTTCAAGGCAAGTAATAAATAAGCCACCCCCCGCACCCACCGTATTTCTATGAGACCTAAAGACAGAGACGTCACAAAACCATTAAAACTTTATTATAAAAAGCCAGACCCAAATGAGCTCGGATAGATTCATTTTCAATTATTTTATGGGCAAACATTCATTTATTATTTGTATCCAGTTATATTTCAAGTTCAGTAATCAGTACCTTTCCTAAAACGCTCTTCCTAAACGACGTCTATCCTACAATATCTCCTATCCCAGAAGGTGTCACCGTCTCGACGCCCAACGTCCTGCCGTCCTACTCCCTACGTCTCGAACGCTGTCACATTCCTCATCATCTAAGTATTTCCTACCGTACACTCATTTCGACGCTCAACGTCCCACGCCTTATTTCCGACGCTTGCCGTCCATAAATATTTCTTTCATATCACGTCCCGCACCACCTACAATTCTACCGTATATCTGTCCCAATACAGTACCGTATTAAATACCTTCCTTTCCACCACGACGCTAGACGTCTCGACGCGAGGCGGCGCCCAACGCCGCGACGTACCGAAATCGACGCCTTCCACGACGCTAGATGAAATTAGTAACATTTCGAAGAGTCAAATAACGAATTATAAAATAAAGAGGGGGCTGGGGAGTGGCCGTTAAGTGGTGCCGTGACCAGGATGTAAAGTCATTTAAATTGGTGCAAGGTAAATAAAGCTTACAAAACAAAAAAATATTTAAACAAATTAATTTAGCAACATTTTAACAACCAGGATGTAAAGACATTTAAATTGGTGCAAGATAAATAAAACCTACAAACAAAACTATTTAAACTAATTAATTTAGCAAAATTTTAACAACCAGGATGCAAAGTCATATAAATTGGTGCAAGGTACATTAAACCAACAATAGAAATTAATTAAACAAATCAATTCAACAAAAATTTTAACAAATACAGAATGCAAAGTAAAATTAAATTTGGTGCAAAAATGTCAGTAAAAAAAATAATAATAAAAAAAATAAAATTCAACTTTATATATTTTGAACTGATACTCTTCCCGTTTTCTTTTTACATAAAAACGAATCAACCATCATCAATGAGGGATCCTAACATTTGGAAGTGGCAACTAGACCCAACAGCAGCCGGAACCAACTTCAACCCTTGCGACAGGAACTTCAACCCTTGCGACAGGCACTTCAACCCTTGTGACAAGAACTTCAACCCTTGCAAAAGGAACTTGCGCACAACTTCTAGTGGATATCAAGACAGCCATGAACGAACTTCAACCCAAATTAAAAGAATACTTCAGCATCTATTCAACAGAGGACCAAACTGCAGGCTACTAGATAGAACCAACTCCAACTCCTAACACAGGGACAACCACCCAATCCATAGGAGATATTAAGACATCCAAGGGTGAACCCCAAGCCAAATAAAAATTCCTTAGATGATCTGCAACTAATACACGTCCAAATACAGAAAGTATTGGCACTAAATGAACAATCAATGAGACAAATTAAAGCTTCATTTTCGCTACGACATTGTAACAACATGGGATCACTCATAAGTACAGAACCTAAAAGTGATCGACCAATATGCGTACTTCAGAAAAATTCAAACAAGCTAGAGCAGTGCCTATCAATGCAGTACATAAAAGACAATTCAATCCTTTCAAAGCCCAAAAGGAATTAGCTAATAAGAATCGTCGAACCACTATCTCGTATAACCAGTAGAAAAAGCGATAAAGAACAAAACCAAATAAACCAATGAGCCAACTCTCTGAGATTTCCATAAAGCTTAGAAATATTATGAACATATCTCATGATTGACGCCGAAAAATAATATATTTCCAAAGATCTGTATAAGAAAATGACGATCGAAGAACCAAAGGTAAAGTTGCATTCCACCTGACTTTATAGTTATGAGTCAACCTATTTATGAAGAAATATTTGTCAAAAAAGAAACAAACAAATTATCGTTAAAATTGTTTGTTAGCAAAGTTATTTACGACGTGTCTGGCAATCCTAATCCAACCCTGTAGTAAAAGATATAAGGGTCACAGAGGAAAAGTATAGCACCACCTGTTTTTCAAAAAGGTCGATAACCGTATAAATCACAAGAACTCTTCACATACAAATTTTATTGAAGGATATTCCATTGTAAAAGTCAAAGATAACAAAAAATTTACAAATTCACAAAAGCCACTTGACATGTGTTTAACAACTTTACTTCCGAAAAGATAGAAAAAGGCAATTTAGATCAATTGCAGAGAAAAGATCTCTATGGGCTCTTGTCACAATTTAGCCACTTGTGGTCTCCGATAAACCAGAGAAACTTACCTACTCAAGTTTATAAAAACGAAATTAAGATAACAAACGATGTACCGTTTGTCAAGAAGAGATATCCAGCCAAATATTATTTACGTCTTACTACCGACAAGAAGTTAGAAAAATATATTAGTCTTGGGGGTGAACCCAAAAATGAAAAACACAATTCCTTATATAAATCCTGACTGTTAAGAGATTTGGAAATAGTACACAACACAGAAGAGTTTCGAGATGAGAAGTGGTTAAATTCTACAATTTCACCAGTAAAAACATCAACAAATTAATATTTTACATCTACTAAATAAATAAACAATTCTCAAATAGTTCGACTGCTTTTTACCCTAATATAATGTGAAGTCATAAAACTATAAATAGCATTTTTCTCAGAATACCGAACGTCAAACACCTGTGTTTTCAGGTGCACAGCTGTGCATTGGAACAAATGAGTGTCCGGCGCATAGTAACGAACCACAAATGACGTATTTCATTATGTCATGATGTTTTCATTGGTTGAAACCGAATAGGTGCGTCAACTATGCCCCGGACACTCATTTCGGTCCAACAGTATATATTAGGGTGAGCTCGACGCGAACGGAGTAGTTGTCCTATTGCCACCAACGGGTTCAGTTGTCTTTTTGCCATCATCGCTCACAGTTGTCTTTGCCAGGTGCTTTCTGCCGACGGCACGTTACTTTCTACATTTTTACAAGCGTTTAATGCATTTTATTTTCTGGTGAAAGTTATATCTTCTACAATTATTATGGCATAAGAAATTCTACAAACAAATGTTTTCAAGTTGGTAACTAAAAAATCACCTGTATTAGTTAATCAAATTGTGATGAACTAAAATTATAAATATTTAAAACTGTTTAGTGAAGATAAGAAAATTATTATATCTAAATGGAATCAACCACTATGTATTTACTTCAGTGAAAATAGTATATTAAAAACACTTCTTTTTCTACTACCTATGACTCGTTAGTTATTTCTACAAAAGAACCCAATTCTTCTAACACCAGCGACATATGCTACAGAACATTTTTACCAAAGAAATATTCGGAAGTAACACCGGTATTTTTTCAAGAAGAACACGCAACATCTTATGATGGTGGGTGAGGTTTTCCGGGTTTCCCTTACCTGTAAGTCGAATGGCACCATCAAACACCGCAAAGACGCCCCGGAGCGCAAAGTCAAAAAAAATATAATAATAATCATCATAATAATATACAAGGGTAAAATGTTTTGACACAGCAATGAAAGTACAGACCTTGGTAAGCGTTTAAGATGTTAACTACTAAACATTTTCAATGTTATTACGCAATTAACATCTAGGGGGTGTGTGTAACCTACCGCACCCAGGTACCTTAATAATTTATTAATTCCAATTATTAAATACAATATTACATTATTTTAAATTCAAAATGCTTCATTTAAGGAAAAATCTCCCAGATAATTAAATCTTATTTACGACACCTAATAAATAATAGCTATAACCACGTCCGTAATATATCCACGTCTCTCTGAGAATCAGCCCAAAGAAAACACCATAAAGCGTATTTCTGTTTACGAAGTAATTATTAAAACACTTAACTAGCTTATTTTTCTAGTTTCGATGTTAAGACCGATATCGACAATATTTCGATACACAAAGCTTTTAAGGCAAGTAATAAGCCACCCCCTGCACCCACCGTATTTCTATGAGACCTAACGACAGAGACGTCACAAAGTCATTAAAACTTTATTATAAAAAGCCAGA